GGGGCCTGAACTCTGGGCCTGGGCGCTGTCCCTCAGCTCTTCAGCTCAAGGCTAGCGCTCTACCACTTGAGCCACAGCGCCACTTCTGGCTTTATTTTTTGCTTATGTGGTGCTGAGGAATCAAACCCAGGGCCTCATGCATGCAAGGCAAGTGCTCTACCACTGAGCCACCTTCCCAGCCCCTTGATGGATATTTCTAAGTTCCTGCTATACCCAAAGTTGGCTGGGCACAAACCCTAAGTCCTTCCGGGGATCCCCAGAAGCCAGGTGGTAGTTTCCAGCGACCATATCCAAGGATAGATAAGAGCATGGCACCCCTAAATGCCAGGGCCAGGTCTCAAAGACACCATAGTGACTGCAGGTTTCTTTTGGCTCATGGTGGTGGGTCCTATGGCCTAGATACTTCCTGGGTCCCTGGACCAGTAAAGACCCATCACCAAATCCCAGTGCTCCCACAATTAAAACTGATGCCTCCCCCCCAACCCTAATCCCAAAACACACCTTAGAAGTTTATGCATTTTATTATAAAAAAATACAGAATCCAAAGTTGATTGTGAAGGGAAGGGCAGGCCCCGCCCCCCACCCCACAGGCCCTACAAAAGCCCCGGTCCCGTCCCTTTGCATGGATGGGCTTGAGCCGTCTCCTGGCGGCTGTACACAATATATATTTATATATAATATATATAAAACACAGAGTCAGGAAAGACGGGTAGAAATATGAAATCTGTAGAAATGTGTTGTTTCCTTCATTAAATCATCTTCGAGGAGGAGTTCTCTTTTTGGTTGTAGGTCCCCCCTCCTTTTTGTTCTATCTTCTTTTCTTTTTTTTTTTTTCCTTTTCTCTATTTTTCCCTATAGAAACATTATTAGGTCACAGAGTCGACAGAGTCGAAGGGGGTGGGGAGGAGTCTCGAACAGACGAAACGAGCTTATTGCGAAGTGTTGGCTATTCTAAAAAGTTCCCCCACCTCCCCCCACCAAAATATAAGACTCCCCCCTGACAAAAGGTTGAAGAAAAAAAAAAAAAGAACAAACAAACCAAGATTTCCAGTCCATCCTCAGGAATACATTAAAAATAAATCACAGTATATACTTGCTGGTTCTATTTACAGAAATATAACGTCTTTCCAGCCCTAGAAATGAGATGGTAGTGCGGGATGGAGGGCCCAGGTGTGGGGGACGGGGAGAAGGGGGCTTGTTTGCACAGGCTAGCCAAAGTGGTTCTGAGAGTTGGAGGGGACAGCTGTGGCTCAACCGTGGCTGGAAAATAATCCCCCCAAGAATGGGGGGGAGGGCGCTGAGATGGAGGCCTGATGTCCCCTAGACCACGACTAGGGGGTTCATACTGCTGCCTTCTCGTGGTTCACACTGCTGCCTTCTTCTGGCTCAGGCTTGCTTGTCCCAGGGTGCCTGAGGGTCGGCCAGCATTTGTGGAGCACAGGAGCAGGCCGGTCCAGTGTCCCCTTACCCTCATTAATTCTGTTTCCCAAAGTCACCGGCAACAGTGGGGAATAAATTAAGTTAAAAAACACAAAGTCTTTCCTATCCAACCATGAAAACACACAAAAGAACAATTGCCAAGAAGGGCCGGGGTTCCTCAGCAGTCCCTCTGGAGGAAGGTGGCCAGGCCTGGGGCCATCCCAGTCCCCCTTGGGTGTCGGGGGGGGGGGTCCTGGCTGCCCCTCCAGTGGGCAGCACCACCAGGGAGAAGCAGCGTCTATTTGGTCTCGGAGGCGGCTGTGGTCATGGGCAGGGCTGAGGTCGCAGGTGTAAGTGGGTCCTGGTGGGGCCAGCATCCTTCAGGATCAGGACTAGGAGCCCAGGAGGGTCCAGAGCACAGGGACGGTGCTAAGGAAGAGGTGGCAGCTGCCCAGGCCACTGCAGGAATTGTTACTGGTGAAGATGGGTTCGGGGGCCTCATACAGGGTCTCATCTGCAGGAGACACAGAGACAAGCCCGTCAGATCAGCCTGGGCCTGGCTGGAGACCTCAGCCTTCACTGCAGAAGCTATGAAGCTGGGAAAGGACCGCAGCTTTCGGGAAACTGAAGCCAGACACAGGTAGCTCACACATATAATCCTAGCTAATCAAGAGGTTGAAATCTGAGGATCGTGGTTCAAAGCCAGCCTGGGCAGGAAAGGCAGTGAGATTTCTATCTCCAATTAACCACCAAAAAGCTGGAAATAGAGGTATAGCTCAAGTGGTAGAGCATCAAGCCTTGAGTGAAAAAGCTAAGTGAGAATGCAAAGCCCTCAGTTCAAGCCCAGTACCGAAACGTATGAGCAAGCGAGCGCACGCACACACACACACACACAAACTCGTGCACGTGCATGCATGTGTGTGCACACACAGAGAAAATAGAAACTGAGGCTCAGGGTGGGGCCAGCTGCAGTTCTGGCTGATAGTGTTCTGAGACCTACCTGACTACAAGCTCTTTAGACTACTGCCATCAGTTGAGGACACAGTGGGGGAAATCTGGGTCCTGCTTGCTTCCCCCCCACCCGACCTCCCCACCAGCACTTACTAGTCGGCCGTACATAAACCTTCAACCGCAGGCAGGGCCGGTCCACAGCGTTGGGAGGTGTGGCAGCTGGAAGAAAAGGGACAAGGGACTCTTGGTGACTGAGATCAACTAAGGCTCTATTACCCTTTCCCCCAGTACTGGTGGCCCAATCCTGACCATCAAAGCCCCAGACACAATACCTTCTGTTTCCCAGCCGAAACTGCACACTGTCCCTGATGAGCCTACATTGTCTGTGTCCTCATCCTGCTCCTCCTCAGAAGTTGAGATTTAAGTGTTGAATATAGCTGGGGGCTGATGGCTCACCTCAGGACAGGCGTGCGCACACACACGCACGCACACACGCACACACACACAGTGTTGATATATTTGTTTTCAATTGATCAGCCAAAAAAAAAAGGAGTATAGCCAAACGATTGTGACCAGTTCAGTTTTTTGTTTTGTTGGTTGGTTATGGGGCTTGAACTCTGGGCCTGGGCACTGTCCTTCAGCTCTTCAGCTCAAAGGGAGCACTCTACCACTTAAGCCACAGCTCCACTTCTGGTTTTCTGGAGGTTCATTGGAGATAAGAGTCTCATGGCCTTTCCTGCACTGGCTTTAAACTGTGATCCTCAGCTCTCAGCCTCCTGAGTAGTTAGGATTATAATCAGGAACCACTAGTGCCCGGCATGACCCACTTCTAATTCTTGTTCTCTGAGGGCATGAACGAATCCCACTTCTGAAATGGTACTGAAATGGGCTGAAATGGTACATAACTGTGCTCTGCAGATGATTCCTTTTTTCTTTTCTTTTTTTTTTTTTTTTTAAGGGTAAGGGACCAAGGACAAGATCTCACTATCTTGCCTTTTTATTATTATTATTTCTATTGTCAAGGTGATGTACAGGGGGTTATAGTTACATAAGTAAGGTAAAAAGTACATTTCTTGTCAAACTTGTTACCCCTTGGTTTCTTTCTTTTTTTTGGTCAGTTGTGGGGCTTGAACTCTGGGCTTGGGCACTGTCCCTGTGCTCTTCAGCTCAAGGTGAGCGCTCTACCACTTAAGCCACAGCGCCACTTCTGGTTTTCTAATGGTTTTTATTGGAGATAAGAGTCTCATGGACTTTCCTGGCTGAGCTGGCTTTGGACTGTGATCCTCAGATCTCAGCCTCCTGAGTAGCTAGGATTGCAGGCGTGAGACACTGGTGCCCGGCTCTCTTTTTTTTTTCGTGTGTGTATGTGTGTGTGGTGCAGGTCCTGGGGCTTGAACTCAGGACCTGAGCTTTTTTGCTCAAGGCTAGTGTTCTAGTACTTGAGCCACAGATTCACATCCAGCTTTTCAGTGGTTAATTGGATATAAGAATCTCAAGGACTGCCGGGCGCTGGTGGCTCACGCCTGTAATCCTAGCTACTCAGGAGGCTGAGATCTGAGGATCGCGGTTCAAAGCCAGCCCGGGCAGGAG